GTTAGTTACGTACGTACACGTACTTTACTTTCTTTTCTTTTCTTTCGTTGTTGTGTGTGTAGTGTATATATATATATATATATATATATATATATATATATATAACAAGTTACTTACTTTTTTAATATTATCTGGAAATGATAGTTGTACCAACATGTCTGGATCTTGCAATATTGCTATTAAAAATAAAAACAAATGTTCTTGGAATTCAAGCTGTACAACAACCGTTTCTATTTTGAACTAATATATTAATTTTTAAATGAAACAAAAATAATTAACTGAAGTACAAATTTCCCCCAATGCTTTTTTTTGACACTGTGAGAAACATGTATGGGATTGTCTCAAAACTTCATCACAGGTTGTAATTTTCCTTCACTGAAAATGTATTTCCGATAGGTGCTTACCTCCCTCACATAAATAGCTATTCTCATTCAGTGCTGCTCTCTATAGGCAAAACATTTTTTACACATGCCACAAGCCTCCTATCTCCCCTCCATTGGAATTGACCTATTTCAATGGATCTCTCATGCAAATCATCATGCGTCAAACCTCCACCAATAAGAGTGCAACATACTCTCATAACACATGTGGCTCCCTCTATTCAATTCTACCAAACACTCATTTCAAGTTTTGACAGAAGATGGAAGCAGAAATCCCAGAAATTATAAAAGTGGGTAAAATGAAAAGGATGTGCACCTAAGTGTAGAGTGGCTAGGGTGTGACAGACCATCATTGGCAAGTCAATTACACCCAAAACCCATGCTGCTGGTAACTGACATCCATGCAGGGTAGGGTGAGGATCATACTGTCAGTAAGTCAACTACAATTCAAAATTTGGCTGCCAGGTACCAACGTCCATGTGAAAGTAAGAAAGAGGATCATACCACTGGCAAGTCGACTACAATCCAAAACCCAGGCCACTGGGTACCGACATCCATGTGAGGGTAGGAAAGAGGATCATACCAGTAGCATGCCAACTACAGTCCAAAACCCAGCCATCTGGCAGGGATAGGAAAGAAGATCATACCATCTTCACCTCAAGTTCATGAGACCAGAGGGAATCTAGTACTCCCAAACTCATGAATGAGGCACATATGAATATGATAAATTGATATATTGATCTAGAAACCCAACATCCAGTATCAAAAAGATGTCTAGATAACATAAACCATCACATTAACATCCTCAGAATAAGAAACATTGAGGGATAGCAGAAGTGAAAGAACTATAACAATACTCAATTAGCTCCACTGTGACCCACAACAATGATGGAGTATAAATGAGGGAGGAGTATAGATATCTGTAATACATATGTGAGGAGTTATGTTGATTGATTCTACTATAAATCCAAAATCTGGCCACTGGGAAGCAAAATCCATGTGGGGGTAGAATGAGGGATCACGATCGAATGGGTGAACTACAATTTTGATGTCTCACTCATATTTGTTTTTATGTTTCATATTCGAGAAAATCACACCATCTACACCAGCAGAACACCATTGCCCTATTCTCAACTGAATGGTTTTATAATCATTTCATCATTTCATTAACCCATTCAGGAGGATACCTCCACAGTCCACCATCCCAGTGGCTTGGAACTAGAAAGTGGTAGAGACTCTCAAATTCCACTACAAGAAAAGGGTGGTAAAACGCAGTGGAGAGTCCAGAGGAATGACAAAACCTGAGATAGTACAATGGGTGACCAGGAAACCCTATTTTTAAAAACAGACTATACCGATTTATTAAATACAAAGCATGGAAGGAATGAGCAGCTATCCCCTTCTGCTTCACCTAAGTAATCCATGGGTGGGTACGGGTTCAGGAGAGGCAAATTTAGGAAGCAGTTCTATTGTGAGGTTAAGCTTACAAGCGATCTTGTGGAACACCCCATCTTTGTAGTGTGCCTTGTGTGGCCATGGAATTATAATATGCAAGTCGACATGGCTTGACAGTATGGATTTGAACAGCTAAGGAATACCTGGTCATGCACTACTTGCCACAGAGTGGGATCCAAACAATGAACATTAAAAAAAAAGAAAAAGGGCCCTGAAAAGGTAAAAAAATAACTTACCCAGTCAAAGTCTCACTAAATTCTGATATTCTAGAATGGCTACAGGCAGAAGATGATAACCCAAAGAGGAAGGAAGTAAACTGGGATCCAATGCAAATAGTGAGAGATGAATGTGTCGTTGGTAGTCCACATGCCCGATTGAAGAAGTACCTCCAAAGGATGACAAAGATGAAATGCCAATGAAAAGGTAAGGTGTTGAATTGGGTGAGAAGACACTCAGAACAAAATATGGGAGGAAGACGATAAAGAGGAAGAAATCAATTGGCGAAGGAGGAAGAACATGAACAGAGGATGGTTGCCAAGAAATAAAGAAACAGGAACGGACACTATAGAAGGAGGCAATATATAACAGAGAAGAGCACATGCAGGACATATATGTCTATCAGGATCAGGATGAGGATAAAGGCGTGAAACAAAAGGAAGGGAAACTGGTTAAATGGAGGAGTTATCCTCACAAGCCGCCGAAGTGTGAGGGATGAAAAATGATCCACAGAAAGGAGAAGAGTATGTAAAACATCGATGGCAAATAAACAGACAATCAACATCCACAGGCGAATAGGAGAAGGAAGGCAGACATAAGGGAAGGTGAAAAAAGGAGCACTGAGAGAAAGTAGTTTGAACATAGGCAAAGTGAGGCAGTGCAGGACTGCATTAATATCTCCAACCAGAAGGGCAGCCCGCTGCAGTAGACGACAAACCTGGAAAGAACACATCCACGGGTAAAGTGTATGAGAAGAAAATATCTGCGGGATCAGGAAAAATGAATGGTGTAGGACAGGACCACCATAAAATCTGAGACCAAGGAGACAGAAGATCCAAAAGTCAAGAGTGGAAATCCACATGACCAGAAACCAATGATAGAAAGTCCATTTGCACTGAGAAACTTCCATGTAGGAAGTGCAAATGAAACAAGCCAGAAAAGAGGCTAAATGTCGGGAGAAGCTGGATCACCTCACCAATGACCAGAGGAAAACCAGGCAGGAAGATGGAGACCAGGAAGACCTGGATAAAACACCGGTGACTGAGGGTGATGAAGAAGGGAAGGAGACAGAGGAAAAGGTAACAGAGGAGGAAGTTGGAGCTGGAGAAGCCACGAAAACCAAAGCTGAGACAGCCAGGAAAGAGCACCAAAAGAAAAAACGTCTGACACAAGTACTGCCAAACGAGAAGTGATAGTTTGGTAGAATTTAATAGAGGAAGCCACATGCACCATGAGAGTATGTCACACTCTTATTGGTGGAGGGTTGATGCATGAAAGACACATTGGAATCAGTCAATTTTAATGGAGGAAAGATAGAAGGCTTGAAGCATGCTTAAATTTTTGTTTTGCATATAGAGGGAAGCACTGAAGGAGAATAGCTATTTATGTGAGTGGAGGTAATATACTGTATTGGAAAATAACAGCAAGTTCAGTTTAGTCCCATTTCAGGTTGACATACTGGAAATGTTTTAATATGAATGTAACACAATAACAGATATAATTTTAGTAAACACTTATGTCAATAATAAACCTTACAAGCAATTATTATGATAGCAAATCCTAAAACCACAGATATAAGGAAGGCTTTCTAACCAAGTATTTGCAGTTGGGAGATAACAGTAAAGCAAACAGATAATTTTGTATATTTGCTTATGATCGAAATATTTTAATGTATTACAAAATTAAGGTTATATCACTTGTACCAATCTTCAAAATAACAACTGTTAATTCTTATCCTAATATTATATGCTCCTTACCAATTGCTACAGGATCATCTGCCAGTCCAGGATTAGTAACAACAATGTTTTCAATCACTTCTGGCTTACTCAGTTGGCGCAGCTGTGAGGAAATATTCAATAACACATACACAACAGTTTTAACTTTTGTTTCTAACTAAATTGTTTTTCAGAAAATAACCAATTCGTACATTGTGTGAAATATAAATATGCACAAATACTTTTCAATTCAATATCCAGATAAGTTATTTTGAAGTGGGCAAAAATTGGTTTCTAATAAAGTCCTTCATCTCAAAATAAATAATAATATTTTGATAACAGTGATGTAAAGCTATATGGAAACAAACAGTGCACATTAGAAAATTATAAGCCACATTTAAAGTTTGTGTATATTACTTTATGTCAATAAAGGCAATGTTGTTTTTTTTCTTTTAACATATAACCCAATTATCAAAGGCCATGCATCACATGATCTTTCTCAGTTCAAGAAAATGAAAAGAAGGTAAAATGAATGTGAATTAAGTCAAACTTTTTGAAGTTTGTTGCAGAATTATGGTCATGAAACAGCATGAAAGTCAGTTAATAAAAATGCAAACTATTTATGATATCCAATAAATGTAACTTAGTAATCCAAATTTAATACTTTAAGAACATAAGGACAAATGTAAAACTTGAACAATATTAAATGCTACTATAAAATTGAATATGAAGAGAATGATATTGAATTCCATTTCTTATGTTTATTGTTTACTATACTAAAGGATTTAAATACATGAACCAATCATGTTCACTATTATTCAAACCTAAGGATACTACAATATAGAGTAATGAACAAGATGGGAGCTTAGCTTTGTATAATGCCAATGTTTGTATCTTCCAGAAAGGAAAACAATACTTAACTATAAAGGCTTTATGAATTTTAATGATTAAGGTATCTTACATGTTACTTTTTATTAATTGCTGTTAATGAAAGTTGAACACAGCACTTCATACTTATACAGAACAGAAAACTTCTTTCTGCAGTGTGCTCAGTAGTCTGAGAAAGCATATATGAAGTGTCAAAGGTTTTACCAAACTAATGAAAAGCAACAAAAAAATGTACTAACATGTTCAATGTTTGGTAAAAAGAAAAAGAAAGAGGTCTATACAACACTTGTTAAACATTAGCAAAATAATAATATATATCACATTGCTAGAGGCCCTTCAAGCCGAAAGGTACTAGTGAGATTAAACACAAAATTCTTAGCCCCGTGTTTCAGTTGGTATTTATTAGGTTAACTTCTAATTCTTGGGCATAAAAGCACATTCCAAAGGAAATTCACAAAATGTGGAATTTCAAAGCCATTGTAGAGTGATTTATTAGTTATACCATAGCCTTAATATCTCTTCTATACTAAGTTTCTAGCCATAGTACAATCCTTTTGTCACCTATATACAGCTTATTGTAATTATAAAGTACTGACATTCAACACAGGGCAATAAATAAATGCTTGATGTAACATGGCTTACCATGTTTTTCAGTACCAAATTCCCCAGTGCTGACTTCAGAGTGCTAACTCTACTTCTTATCTCCTTTTGACTCAGCTCTTCTGTTAAGAAGAAACAAAACACTTGTAACTAAACATTGACTAAAAATCAGGCCTATATGTATAAAATTTCAGTTTGAATATAATAATTAGATAGCTGATACCAAATTATATTTTGTGAATCAACTAACCTTGTTACATAAAAAGTTCTTTAAATATACAGTTTACTTATGTCTCATTTAATAAATACACATTTTCATCTTATCAAGATAACCTAGTTTCTATACCAGTAAATGAAAGTAGTTACCAAACCTTTAAACTGTCAGATGAAAGTAATTCATATCCTTGTTAAGCATACTAATCAATTAACATAACATCCTTATCAATCCTTCAATCTGTGATATACATATAAAAACAACACAATATTTTACCAGACTCTGCTATTCTCAAATAATAATTATATGATATGTCTTCAGGTGAAAACCTCTTACAAAGCAACATCAGCAAATTTTACACTTTGTTCTAAGCAATCCATTTAATTTTTATTTAATAGTTAGATATCATCAACAAACCTTGTTTCTATTCATCTGATGATGATAAAACTATTCTAGTCTTTCATTTGCTCCTCAAATGATAACCAAGCAATATTCATGCTAAATCCTTCAAAGTTCATGCAATTGTAATTTTATTACCAAACCTTTCTATCTTTTGGTGACAACCAAACATAATTCATTCAAAAACCTTTATCTTTAAATTGTACTTTAATAGTATCCTAATTTAAACTTGTGAAATTTAGATAGTAATCATGTTCAGCCATACATTATAATTTTATCTCAAAGTGTAAGAAAACAATATCTAATCACATAAACTCATAGAGTAATCAAATGACAAAAGGTCATTTGGGCCATCAAATCCATGAAATTCTAACAAAAACTTAAAACAATTTAACCTAACAGCACATACACCACATAATCTAGCACACCATTCCACAGGAAAAACATTTTGCCCAATAACAGCCTAGACTTGAGCTTCCATAGTTTATACTTATTTCCTTTAATATTCATGATTTCATCTCCAGCCCGTCTTTCCACCATTCCAACAATACTACAATGGCCTATTTATCCAAGCTCCAAAATTTTAAACAACTGAATCAGGTTATCTATATTTCTTCTAATCTCAAAAAAACTATTTCAAATCTTTGTGTATCTCTCTTCATAGTTTAAATGTTTCAAACCAGAAACATGGTAATTTGTCTCTGATCTTTTTCAAGCAAATAATTATCTTTTCTATAACCCAATTACTTCAAATAAGGCATTACAAAGTTTTTTATAATGTGATTATAACCTCCCTAATCCTGACCTCAAATGTTTCTGCAAACAGATCCCAGAAACCCTCTGCCCTCATCACTACTTTGCAAATTTTCTAAAATTCAGATGATAACCACCATCTTTAATGTATTTTGTAATCTCCATGTGACAATCACAAATAATAATTCTAAATACCCCTCATTCACTAATAAAAATCATACACTAATCTTAATAAACATTATGATCCTCACCAGACCTTTTAATCTTCAAAAGAATAACATTATCATCAGGAAAAAGTCATGGTAATAAATACACAACATCCTTAACAAATCTCAAGATCTTCGGGTGATAAACACACAAAACATTTGTCAAATACTATTATTTTACAATAATTTAAAATAACTAAACACATTATCTTCAATGGCACAATGGAAAACAGAGCTTTTCTTAATATTTGATGCACAAACCATGTGATTTTTCGGGATCTGGATGCTGCTTGGGCAGAATATACACAGTCATCCCATGCTTCAGTCCACAAGATTCTAAAGTTTCTTCTGATTTCAAGCACTTTCCAAAGCAGATAAGTTCTGCAAGTGAATAAACACGAACAATTTACTGTAATTTCATAATATGCAACTTAGTTTTACAATGTACTGCTATCATGATTGAATTCCCTATACATAGGTACAACATATATATATATATATACAATAAAATCAATAAGTTTCTAAATACAGAAATTCAAACAATACCCAGTTTTTTACTCTGAAATAAACTGCTCCTCTTTTGTTAGTCTTTGAAGCAATGTGTTTTCTCTGTTAGCTCTCTCAATACCTATTTCTTTTCTACATTAGGTTAAAAGGTTTAATCAAAGCCCATTCTCAAATAAAACTTAGCTATTAAAAACAAAATTTCTTTTGGAGGGGTTTTGGTAGACTTACATCATTCTTTACACAATTTTCACTAATCACATGTCAAAAATTAAAATTAACATTTTCATGTAGTGAAAATGTATATCCCATAGATACGAACATCTTCACCAGCATCTTCCATGCATGTCTGCTGTAGAGATTTGCATGCCACTAACCACTAGTAAACTCCCAACTAATCTCACAAGATTTCTTGTAAATTGTGCTCCTGCATAATGACATAATTATACTCTATGCATTAGTGCTTGTGAATCTTCATTCTTTGATGAAGTAAATAAGGAAATAAGTACCAGAAATGAGGAGAATAGGCAGGAATGTGTGTAAAGAGGTTTCTACAGGTAATACATGTTCAGGTAAAGAAAATTATAACTTTTGAGACAATACCACACCTCTTCACACAGTAAGCTAGGATCCTACATTAAAGTGGTGGAGGGTCCAGTGCAATGAATTACCTGGATGAGCTCCATTAAGAAATCACCCAAAGGAAGCCCATGAAGCATGACACCTGATGACAGGGGCTCCATATGGGTACATCCATGGAAAACTGTATCTCATCAGTTCCAGGGTATACTCTTCACCTAGGAATAAAGGGAGAAAGAGGTAAACAAGCCCATGTTTCGCAGGAATGAGTGTAATAAGAACATGGCTGTCAAATAAGAACATGGCTGTCAAAGAGCCAATATGTGTAGTGTAGTTGGAGTGCATTCCAATCTTACCTTGTGCACACTACAACTCTACTGTCAGACTTTATTGGACCAGCACCAACTGTGGGAGGAGAGCATAATAGTCATCCCATAGAGAGTGGTATGGTCTATGTACACCTCAACTGAAGGGACACCAACTGCAGATGGAGGGCACAGTTTGTTAGTTCATGCTCACCTCAACTTTATTGAACAGGTGATGTCTGAAAGAGGAGGGCACATGATAGTGGTGCATGCTCGCCTCAACTCAACTGGGCAGTTGAAGGCTGCAGAAGGAGGGCATAGTATCATCTTATGTACTCACCTCAACTCTACTGAACAAACTGTGGCTGCAAGAAGAGGCACAGCATTATAGTGTGTGCTCAACTCAACTGAATAGACTCAGGCCACAGAAGGAGGGCACAAGTGGAATGTGTTATAGTTATATAAGTTGTGACCTGTGCTACACTTACAGAGTCATCACTGTCCCACTTCCTACCATACTGACATCCGTTGTTCTACCCACAATGTTAGGTCCCAGTAGTAAGGATTCTCCATGGTCCACCACTTCAGTGGCTAAGAGGGGAGGGATTAGCAGTAGAGAGACCTGGAGAAAATGCTCAGATCTCCCATCAGTCATTCAGTCTGGAAAGGTTTATAACTGGAGACTGAGCAACAGGTGACTATGTAACCCTACTTTGAAAATCCAGCAAGTATAAGACAGGGAAGCAGGCAGAACATCCACTGGTGCTGGCTTTTTCCATAATATTTCATGCAATATTCAATAGGTACAGTCTGGATTAGACAAATATCAGATATACCACGAGGATACCTCAAGTGGTCTTGCAGAACACCCAATCTCAGTGAACATACATGGAGCCATTGCAGATGGTATGAGCACTTACCGCTCTCCTGGCTCTTTGCAGATTTTGTGAAATAAGTATACTTGTGTTACTACATGATGATGTATCATGTAGCAACACCCTCCACTAATAGGAGTATGACACACCTCTATGTGCACACACTCCCTCTATAGTCACATACAAAAATCTTCATTCTTTTACTCAGTACAGATAGTCAGATATTTTTAGTTTGCTGAGATCTGTGATTATTTTCTATCAAGTTTCAATTTGATTGAGTTTAAGATATTCCATATCATTTCACAGAATACTTTACCACCATTTTTGCTAAAGTTCTTCATCTGTGGATCTGGGTACATTACCCAGGTCTCCTCTATGCAAATTGTCCTCCCTTGTTGAGTGGGGCATGGAAGATATTTGCATTTACCAGATCCCAGCCACTGGAGTGGTGGACCATGGAGAATCCTCACTGATTGGTGCCTAATGCTAGGTCTAGAACAAGGGATCTCTCTTATGTGAAAAGTGAGAATAGGGTGTTTCTGGAGTATAGTGTGATTCATTCAGGTATATCACAATCTCCAAGTAAATACCTATAACTGTATCACTCATTTGTACATACCTTTCTCTCACAATTTCTGCTCCTGCAGTTGGCACAAGCTTCCTGAGTCTGACAGTTCAGTAGATGAATCAATCCATATACACTTGTGATGTATCACTCACACACCTACTCCCACAAGAGGCTAGGTTCCCAAAGAGACTAACAATTGAGTAGAGGTTAAATAAGTATCCATAATGACATTTTCCAATACAGTGCCCTCCTCCCACAAGTAGCATGGAGCCCTTAATAACTGACAATTGAGGAGGAGAGTACAGATACTTATCATAAGTGCCCTTCTTTACCAGCTGGTTTTGACCCATTGAGTCTGATGGTAGAATAGGTGAGCACACAAGATACGGTCTGAACGAGTCCCAACCTCACTACACATATTGGCCATCTGACTTGTGTGTGAGTACTCAGATAGATATATACCTATTATGCCTGTCCTTGTGAAACATTTATGTCTTTTCAGTTACTTTTGTAGTCTCCCACAGGTATACCCCTACGGAGTCCTGCCATCAGGTGTCACACCCCATGGGCTTCCTCCAGACACTAAGTAATCTTTGCACCAGTTCCTCCACAGTCTCAACATGGAATTCTAGTTACCTGTGTATGGAGATGAGTATTTGTTTCAGAAGTTAACAATTTCCTTACCTGAAAATGTATTTTCAATAGATACTCCCCTCCATACATATTCCCACTGATTCTCCTCATTATCCCAGTGTACCTATCTTTATTGCTTCATCAAAGAATGAAGATTCTCATATACAAATATAGAGGGGGTATTTGCACATGGAGGTGTGTCACACTCCTATTGGTGGAGGGTCTTGCTGCATGATATGTCATCATGTATTAGTGTCAGTTCATACGGACACACATGAAATTAGATGGGAGTTTTCACAAGACTAGTGAGATAGAAATCTCTCAGGCAGAATGTGTAAATTCAAATACACCTATATGTGTATGGATGCGAGTATTCCTTTCAGAAATACTTCCATATGTCCTAGTTTTTTTCATATTGTGTGCCTAAAATCATGTAAATGCATCCAATAGTTATTTTTTCAATAAATCAATAATTGATGAGTCTGTTTTTTCTAATAATGGGATATACACTTTCTCATATGTTCATACAAGCTCTGGCATATAAAGAAGGTAACAAAAAAAACATTAATGAAATAAAACTGGATTTTTTTAATATTATTGATCAGAATGTTCCACTTCACATAGTTAGTTCTAGCATGCTCATTTTTCATCAGTAACATATATTTGTTATTTATCTTTACCTACTGAAGCAGTTATGTAGCCACAACAATAACATCAAACACTGATAAACAGCAAAAATGTTAACTACTAAAAACAGAACTCAAACTCATATCCTAGGACTATACTGATATAGGCAATATTTTTCAACTATATTTTTGCTCAAGCTCAATTTCTCTAACAATTATAGTTCATTTTCAATAACTAAGGAGTTCTTGTAATTGTAAGTCTTGTTTGAGTAGTAATAAATTTATCAATACAACTGCACACACACAGATAAGAAAAAACTTTTCTGTCATCTGAATAGTTTGCAGCTGAATGTACTCACTAACCCTAAATATCTTATATAAAAATATCCCTGTAGTTTTAAAACATCACATAAAAGGATTATCATGAAAAAAAAAAACACTGTAAAAAGAAAAAAATTTAAAATCCCAGATATATTATTTGTTTCTAAGTTTTGTAGACTTCACATTAGAATCCTCTGTTTTCCACTTATACTTCACATTTTTCAGAAATTATACATTATACCTTAAGTAATTATTTACTTTACAATGATATGATTATACAAGAATGTTTTCTATTCAATCATGTTCAACCATTGGTCCTGTCTTGTTTGGAAGCTAAGATTTATCAGTTATTGTCCAACTCATCCGATGTGGTACAATAAAAGCCTCTTTACATAGACTTCTTGAAAATAGTCATAGAAGGGAAGTAAAAGACATATGAGAAACAAAACCTTAGATAACACTATTTGTAAGGATGTCAGGATCTAGGTAAACATAAACCTATACCATAGGTTTGGCAAAACAATTCTCACAAAATGTGAAAGCTTTGTTTACAGGCAATACTCATTGAAACTGCTCAGAGATAAAAAAGTTCCAACATTTTTTTAGAATATTTCTTTGCAAGTTACATCAAAAAATTGGACAAAATTATAAAATATCAATTCAAGTAAAAAATTGTTGAAATACAGTTAGAATTGTTATTTTTACTTAAACTATCAAATCTGATAAGCAAGCATGTCCCCAGTGCCCTATTGACCCTTCAGAGCTGCCCACCAGCCCTAATAGAATAAATAAAATTAATGGAACAGGGGAATTGATGAATTCCTTAAAAATAAACATAGGTTTAACATTCAGGGACTCATCAATTATCAACAAATTATTTATTTAATAAAAAGTCAGTGACATGAGAGAGTAATAGATATCTAATTTACTTAAGAACATAAATAATTGACATAATTAAAGAAATGAAAATGTAGCAAACCAAAGAACTATAATTATACTTGGGTCCTACTAACTAACACCAAGAATTATCAGGAACTATTAATAGTTATCATGAAGCATCAATAAAAAAAAACCAATAGCCTATTGCTCTAACAGCTATTATTATTATTATATAGAAACTATATATATTATGGTTCCCCTATGCTACATCTCTCATAACCTGTAACTCTCACCAAATCTGGGATGGTCCACACAATTGGAATTAAAACACTAATGTAAAGTCAATAAGATAAATAAAAATACGATGAAGGAATCTGTATTTTAAAAAAATATTTGTAAAATCATTAAAGTTCAATAATCATACTCATTTGCTGAAGTTCTCATCACTAGTAAATGCAGTTAGTCCCTTAATCAATATGATGAATCTTGCAGTTTCATACTTGACACATTGGGCTGTTACAGTTTCATAGTCAAGTCACTCATACCCCAAAACATGTCAAATATTTCAAAGTTTATTTTGTTTGTTTTCCCCAGTAAATTAGATTATTTTAAAGCTGCTAATACTGCTTTTTCATGTCGTTGACATTTTTATCAAAATTAGTGTCTCAATGTTTCTTTTCTTCTCCCTAACTAGTGTGACGAGACATATAGTACGAATTTTGTTAGGTTAATCAAGGTTTACATGATGTACTTCTGATCCACAATTTTAAGTTTGGTGATTTAACTTACACATGAAAATACATACTTTACAGAAAAGTCATTGCTGTTAACAACAGTGTTAACTTCTTAAACAGATAAGTTATACCACATTTTACAGATGTAATAGAGTGTGCCCATGAACAAATGTTAGTGGACAATGTGTGTCAAAAAGCCATTCTAATAGTTTATAAGATGCAAGACCAGTATGGAGTAAAATAAGTTCATCAGATCCCTTGATATATTTTATGTCATATCCTTGTTTTCAGTAATGCAGTAGCCTGCTCCATCTTTTTCAGAATATTTTGAATTTTCTCTATTTCAAGGCATGGTTCATCATTTTCTTGTGATAATTTTACATAATTAAATTTACAACTGTCACACTTCACACATTTACACTTGATGAATCTGAAGACAATGTTGATGGTATCATGGAGTAATGATGCTCTTCTTTCAGGTTCACACACGAGTATGATAATGACTTCTAATGTGATGATAAAACACTTGATAACTCTCATGGCTTGAATTTTGAGATTCTCATAATTCTTTATCTTCAATGTGACAGTAGCTGTGATTTGTTTATTTTGCAGTATCAGACTTGAGTTTATTAAGTTTATTTCCTGTATCTGTTGTGAAGTCCCTTTTCATTTGCCCCTGCCTTGTTGTGATGTACTCGTCTGTGTCATCAGATGCAGACCAGGTGTTGATAATTTAATGAACATTGTGGTTCTCATGATGGCTCTCCTTCCCATTCATATCATTGCATGTACAGACATGGGTGAAGGTGTTTCCCATAGGGTCAGAGGCTCCCAAAAACAAAGTGATTACTGCACACCTGAGTGTTGTTTGTTATCATAAGGTCAGTATGGTTTATCAGTCTTCACCACAGATGTCTCAACTTACAAGTACATGCATGCCATCTCAACTCCTTTGCGTGCTCTTTCACAATCAGTGTGGAAAAGAATACAAAAATTAATTCATGATTGACAGTGTTGTATTATATAATCAATATTAGATCTATCTACTCAAAGAATGTTTCACTCCCAAGTAAAAACAGAGCATTACAATCTCTAACAATGCCAACATCGTGTCATGAATATGGTCTTATTTACGGGTATATGTTACAGAAAAACCAAGCAAAATTGTCCATCTCTGGTTGTGCCTGGGAACACTATCACTAAAAAGTGAAGAAAAATAAATAATCAACTTACTTTGTTGAGTATATTCAATCATTGTTGCAGTTATACTCTGCACAGCAATCACCATCATCCATTGTTATTCTGATATTACGTCCTCAGTGCATCATTTCACATGGTTTTGTTTGCCCCCTAACAACCCCACACTCCACAAACCAATATGGTGGTATCTGAGTCAGGGTTATCCAAATCTAAATTCTTGAGGTCGGCGTGATGAACAGTCATGTGATTTTGATTGGTAATGCAATCACCACACAGACAAAGGGGCAAACAATAGTGAAGCAAGTACAGCTGGATGTACTTAATTTATATAAGTCTACCGTATACACGTTTTAATTGTAACTTTATGCGATATCTTGCTAATGCCTCGGCTGATATTGCTTGGCAATATATTCTCCATATATTGATATGACATTGCAATTGATAATTTGACTATCAAATAATATATATATATATATATATAATTGAAGAATTTGCACAGCAGCTTCGGCAGTTTAGGCTTGATTCTTGTGACAACCAGCACTCTGCTGACTCATGGATCAATGACCCAAAAGAATGGCCCTGTGTATAGTACCCAAATATATACAATTACCTTGAGTTAAAAAAACAACAACAGAAGACAACATTTACATGACATAAAATGAGCTGAACACACATACTTGTAGTCAGACATTGGTTCTCACAGCTTTCCTCTTGCTTCTCGTGTTCTGTGGTTGATAGCTTTCAGTCACAACACTATTCTCTCCTTTCAATCGATTCATAGTACTTGGATTTATAGATCCGTGCCAGGCCTTAAGGCCCATTCGTTAGGGTATTTTGTCAATGATTTTTCTTCTTGTTGGTGCACCTGGCTGGCCTTGGCTTCTTTCCTTTTTGGTTGCCTGATTGGGTATCAAATAGAAGGGAAGTTCAAGTTTTTACGACTTACTGTTGGTACAGTTCAATACACAACAACTCTTCACCATATTTGCAGGTTTGGAACAACAAAAGTTCGTCACAAACAGTCGTTATGAATATGAGTCTATACGAGCGGGCAAATGAACAGAATGACCGGAAATTCCCTTTCGTAGCGCTATTTGTTTGCCCCTTTGCCTCGGTTGCTATGCAGACATAGCATTGTGAGAGGGCAGAGTTCCCGATATCTGACCTTATATATTGGCTACAGTCTCAATATATTTATAGTCTATACATTGTCAAATGAAATAATGCTATTAATCATGGGAAGTCGGAAGTAGCACTAGGGCTAGTAAATGTTACAAGTTACATTTATAACATACGAGACTTAGACTCTGACTCTTGAGTGTTACGTAGCCCTACATTAAGCACTTAATCATTGTATTTGTAAACCTTAGTAACTAAACATTTAATGATTTATGATTAACTAAGTTTATGAAGAAAGACAGAAAATAATAAAAATACCAATATCGAAGGGCTTCAGATTCAGTTTGGAAGCAACGTTTTCTTTAAACTTTTCCACCGAGGACGATAAATTAATACCAGTAAACTTATTCTTTTCAAAGTTTTTACCATTTTCTTTCGATCTGCTTTTCACATATAACATCGCCATCTTATATCAAATTGTAACTGCCCTCTCTTGGATATAGTGTTTAATTAAGAAAATTGAAGATAAATTATCGGCAAATTTTATGATGAGTTGTGTCATGTTACAAAACAAATAAATATATAAAAATAGAAATACTTCTTACTTATTACGGGTCATAAAAATATTTTGTTGACAATCAAATATTTTGTTTGTTTTGTTGCATTTTGTGCAAAGCTACGCAAGGGCTATCTGGATTAGTCGTTCCTATTTTTTTTTTCAGGCCGAATAGCGAATTTAGACCTTCTATCTTAAATCACACACAGTCTCAAATTGCGGAGCATGATTATTATTATTTTTCACACACGTACGCATGAGAGATGGGGTTCGGCCGTATTCCCTATTTTTGTGTATTAAAAAAATATGCTTATATAGTTATAGCGCAGCTGCTTATGGCACTTAACGTTTTCTATATAGCCTACATTCTTCTTATGAAGCGTTAGCATTTTTTGGCTTGAAATAGTCGCATGCAATGGCTTTTGTTGGCACTTTATAATTGAAAGTCCAAAGTCGTATTGTTACTTCAGATCTTGTAGTCCGAATTCTTTACAGTAAGTGTCTGTGACTTGTTGGCGATAAATTTCGACAATAAACAAACAGCAACACAGTCCATTTGTTTTAAACTAATATATTTAAATAAGTCACACATATATAAAAATGTTTGTTACACTGCTGGTTATCAGACTTCTATCCAAAGCTTTAAATAATTGTCTCTTTTTCGTCAAAGCCTACTTTAGTGTACCAAGTATCTTTATGTTACTGAAACTCTTTGACACACTGCCACTAAGTTCATGTTCATGTGTACATTTGCAATCTGCTCTCCACCGGTTGAATAATTACCTAGGGAGTGTACAAACCGAAGAAAGACTGAGTGCTCTAACTTTAATACATAATCGTCATGACACTGATAACAACATTGAAACTGTATGTAAGTTATTTATGGAAAAGCACTCCCAAAGAATGTAGCATGCTAACATGCTATTTCAATAGTACATACATGTACGTATATGATAGCCAATGATTAAAGTAGCTAATACACTACTGTTGTACAGAGTTGTTTAAATGTATATAAATAGAATAGTACTGACTGTTGTCTGTCCGTGTAACTACTTCGCAGGGTGTGAATGAATTTTCACCAAAATTAGTATGAAGGTTCATTAGGTCCATACGGAGGACATACAAATTTTCAGTTTTGCATTTCACATTTTGCGTTTTTTATCACTACTTCACCCGTTGTAGATGGATCATCACCAAATTTGTTATGGAGGTCATTAGGTTCATGGGGAGATACATAAACATTTTCTGTTTTCCTTTTGCGGTTTTTATGGGCGTTTTTGAGTTTTCTTTTACCACTAATTGTTGATGGATCTTCACCAAATTTTGGCATAAAGGATTGTTGGGTGCATGTGGAGATACATGCAAATCTGCGATTTCACATTTTGTGTTTTGCAATTTTTATGGGGCGTTTTTGCGGTTATTAAAATTATATATAAGGGAAGCAGCTTTTCATGT